CCAGTCTGCACTGGGTACAGAACCTGAGGGGGGTTATCGTTCTGATCCTGGATCAGTATTTTCACACTCACGTTGCTGCTGAGTGGAGGAGAGCCTCCATCCTGGGCTCTGACAGTAAAGATAAGCTGTTTAATCTGTTCATAATCAAAAGAGCGAACTGCATGTATTACTCCACTTTCAGAGTTTATGGACACAAACATTGAAACTTGGCTACCACTGACCTCCCTGTCTTCAATGAAATATGAAATTCTTGCGTTTTGATTCCAGTCAGAATCGTGCGCGCTTATAGCAAATATTGACAAACCTGGTGCATTATTTTCAACAACACATGCTGAATAATTTGTTTTGTTAAACACTGGAGCATTATCATTTACATCAGAAATTCTTAACTGTAAATTTGCCCTTGAGGAAAGTGGGGGGGTGCCTGAATCCGTTGCAGTTATTGTTATGTTGTACTCAGGTTTTGTTTCACGATCAAAGGCTACATCTGAAAGCAAATTGTAATAATCAGTCAGAGAAGACTCGATTTTGAAAGGGAGATTTGAATCAATTGAGCAAGTTATTTGACCGTTTCTGTCAGAGTCTGCATCTTTAACGTTAAAGACAGCTATGGTTGTACCCGGAGAAACATCTTCTGAAATCATGTTGGAGAACGACATTATATTTATAACAGGAGCATTATCATTTATGTCGACAACCTCAACAACAACTTTAGATGAGTCACTGAGACCACCCTGGTCTTTGGCAATCACTCTTATTTCATATTTTTTGTCTTTTTCGTAATCAATGTTACCTATAACTGTTATTGTTCCAGACAAACTGTTGATTTCAAATTTGTCTGAAGATTTACCCTTTACATTGGAAAAACTATATGTAACTAAGCCATGGGAACCAATGTCGATGTCCGAAGCATTTACAGTCGTTATATACGTGCCAATTGGTGCGTTTTCTGCTACAATCGCTTTGTATATTGATTGATTAAAAACTGGAGGATTGTCGTTGGCATCGAGAACAGTGATGTCAATATTCACAGTGCCAGATCGTTGTGGAGACCCGCCATCCACCGCAATTAACTTTAAAGACAGATGCGGGTTCAGCTCTCTGTCTAATGGCTTCTGCAAAATCATCACAGCGAACCTGATTCCATCGGCGTTTGAATGTTGTTTCAAAACAAAATTATCATTTGGGGATAAGACATAATTCTGCAAACCATTCATTTCTGCGTCAGGGTCATAAGCGCTTTCTAAATCAAATTGAGATCCTATCGTCGCAGATTCGCTAATTTCTAAATTAATCACTTTATTTTTGAACGTTGGCGCGTGGTCATTTACGTCTAGTATTTCTACCGTTACTCTGTGCAGTTCAATAGGATTTTCTAAAATTATTTCAAAGGTAAAGCTGCACGGTGTTACCTCCCCACAAAGATCCTCTCGATCAATTCTCTCATTCACGACTAAAATCCCTTTGTCTGCCTTCAGCTCAGTGTACTGAGTGGTTTCTCCGCTGACGATGCGGGCCCGGCCAGAACGAAGCCTTTTTACATCCAAACCAAGGTCTTGTGCGATATTACCGATAAGGGAACCTTTCTTCATTTCTTCTGGTATAGAGTAACGGATTTGGCCGCAGCTGTTGGAAATAATCGTCAGAAAAATGAACAAGTGCCACATCTGCATCCAACACGGCAGCCATATTCCAAATCGTTGGCTGCGTGTATCCATGCTTTTGAGACAAAAATCCTGAATGAAGCTGTTAATCCGTCGGTTTTGCAAACACTAAAAAGGTCAAATTAAACTGCTCTGTATAACCGCATATATACTGTTGTAAATAACGTTCAATGTGACTGAAGTTCCGTCAAGCTTCTTCGATAAATTGAATACTGTTTGCAGCCTCTCTGCTCTCCTCTTTCTGTCATCTGGCACAGTTATAACGACACAAGATACTGTTTCCCTGATCAACAGCGTCCCTTAGAGTCCAAACACAAGATGTAACAGTGAAACAGCATCACTGTGTTCAGAAAGAAAAGACCAATAAAGGTCGAAACCAAAATCAATACATGGAATAAATTAAACTACTTGTTGCACACATTGCACGCTTCACTAAACTTAAAAAAATAATAATAATAATACAAAAACGTAGAAGAATGAATTATGATATTAAGACAATATACTGAATACTATCAGTGGTTGTAAATTTTGAGGTTTATTCAACAACTGTCAAAACTTATTTTCATTATATTTTCACTACATTATTTACAATTGTTTTTAATTATCAATATATTTCTATGATTACATGTTCAGCACCCCAAATTGGCAATGTAAGTACAAGCGTAAAGATATAGTAACATTCGGCTGTTTTTTCTCCAGTATTATATTGTGGTCAAACTGCATAGAAGTCAATTGGCAAGTGCAGTCAAATGGCATTAAGTACCAATGAGTATGTTATATTGTTGTGAAGTATTCTGAAATATTTTTCTATAAAATTCTATATTCAATAGAAATATATCTCTATTCTGTTGATTGAGGTCAACAGGGAAGCATCAACCACTCTTTTCACACAAAAAGAATTACAAAGAATATATTATGTACTATAACCGTGTTATATTTGCAATACTGTAACACATGTCTGATGTATCTCTTTTTGATAAAACACAAAAAACAAAAAAACAAAAAAACAAACTCAATAGTGCTCCAGTGAAATTCTTTTTACCACCACACTGAAAAAGCAAGTTAGCTATTTAGGAGTGAATTCTCGGAGGAACAGCGAGTCGCTATCCATGGTACTGAACAAAGGTCGAACATGCAGCAGCTGAACAAACTAAGGGAACAAGAGACAAATCAAATCAACAAAAGAAAAACATGAGGATACATAGTCAACTAACCTCTAGAGGAGAGTCTGGCTCATCCAGGATGCTTTTCTCACTCTGCATCCGCTGAATGGTTCCTGTAGAACTGGGGTCCATTATCAGCACGTTCTGACTACCAGCTGTGCCAAACTTACAGTTACTCTTTCTGGAGTCAGTGGTCCTGCACACCTCGTAATTGTACACGTGAGGGAGAGTGCCCGTCCCCAAAGTGTCTGAGTAACGTGGTGGATAATATGGAATCACAGG